CCGATTAACCGATTTCTCTTGAGCCGATGAAGCTCTTAGGTATTATCAAGGATTGTGCTATATTCGGATCGAACCTATATTCTGTGAACGATGTTAATCCTACACAGTCTGAACTGTTCCTGGTTACTTAATTGAACTGAATACTTTGCTTAATTGAACTGTAATTTGATGTAACTAGAGCTGTGGAACATCCTATAAGAATAGGAAAAGAATAGTGCAGATACTGTTGGATCATCCTATAAGTAATGCAGTTTTTGTATGCTTCGTTTGTTTTTAAGAATTGAGATAAACAAAACTTTTGTTAATCTAAAATATATTTCTTTTTGTGATGTATAGACAAAGGAAAATATATGCTTTAGATAAAAATAAGTTTGATCTTCGGTTTTTAAAATAAAGGAAATATAATCGAAACTGCATTATTTATAAGATGATCCAATATAAAGCAGTTGAAAAAAAAAGATTGGAAACTTATGGAAGATACATAAAGGAACAGAAACTTTAAGTATTAATAAAGATCTTGATATGTTTTCGATTGAATTATTGTACGAAAATATTTGTTGAGAATCTGAATGAATTATTATCCTACAAATCTTATTCACTTCATTGACTTTATTAATTCTTTAAGTCTTTATGAAATTTTACTAAATTATCCATAACTTTCCTTTTTTAAAAGTTGATTCTGTAGTTAAACTTATTACGAGCAGAATCATTGATTTATTGATTTCTAACCAACGAAAGAACTAGAAAGTTTGGAACAAGTTTCCATTTTTCATATTTTATTTATAATTATGTAGTTTTCCACGACCACTGTAATTAACAACAACGAATAATTTAACATTCCAAAAATATTTTTGTGGCATTAAGCATGCATTAAAACATATATAGACAGTATAAATATTTATATACATTCAACTCTTATAACCAAATCATAATGTTAATAATTATTAAATTTAATTTCTGAGTGTAATAATAATTGTATATCGCTTAATAAATTCATTTTTTGTTCACTCTAATTATAAAGATAAGATAATATTGTATTCGAACAAGTTATACAATATATTAAAATGAAACTAATTGAATATTTTATAGTTCACTGTATTTATACTTCACTTGAGTACTGTAAATCATTGTTAAATGTTCGTATAAGTTAGATTAGGTCTTGGTTAGATCGCCAGTAGTTCAAATAATAGAAGCCCATATGTAATTCAATTAAACCCTTCAGGGAAAACTTCGTTTTCATTCGGTACCTGTTTTCTTTTCATTCCTTGAAATTGTTTCTTCCCATTACAAATGTTTTCATATTCCACAGACAAATTAGACTTCTTTATATTCCTCATGGTTATCTTTAATAGCTACAGTTTCTGTACCGGTTATTTTTGAAACGTGATTTGAAAGATTGTGTGCTGCACGATCGTTAAAACCATATTTCGCTCAAGTTTTTGTGTCGAAGGAGGAAATCCAAGACACGTTCATCGGAGGTCAACGAACCATTCAAGATTCCGTTCCGTCATCATCATCCAACGAAATCCTTTGTAAGAACAGATGCGAATTTTTCAAATACTTTTTTTCTTTCTTTTTCTATTTACTTCTCGATAAAGTTTCTTCTTATGGATCGAAGCAGTCGACGGTCACGGTATAATAAAACAGTCTGAGTTAGTTCTTAGTTAGGTCTTGGTTAGCTTTTAGTTAAATCTTTGATATTTACCTCTCGATAAACTTTCTTTTTCATGGATCGAAGCAGTCGACGGTGACAGTACATTAAAAAAGTTGATTGTACTATCACGCAACACAATCGAAGAAGAATTTATTGATATTCTTCGTGCCTTAAATTTCGAATTTCCAGCGCGTTATGCAATATTGCGTGACAAATAGCGAACTAAAGACAGGAAGTCGTTATCGGCAAACTACCAACGCACCGATATCAGTCCGCAACTTTTGTTTCTCCCTGGCACGCGATTTTATTTCGGAGAAACGAAGAGCGCGACGGTCAATCATGATTCTCATGGAAACGCGAACTGCTCGATAATTAAAGAATTTTTGTGGGAAAGATTGTAAGTGTCAAATACTGTTGGGCATTATTCGAATAACAATAACGAACAAGTAATTAATGGTTATTGGGTTATTTGTTGTTTAAGTTATTCGTTATTCATTGCTTTTCGTTCCATATTCGTATTCGCAAATTTTATTGATAACAAGGCAATGTCATTTATGTTTCTTGTGTTATTATATGCAGTTTTAGGTAAAAGCTATTAAAAATAACGAATAAATTCAATTTATTTATTACTTGTGCATGATGAATATATTAATTATTCGTTGTTAGCAAGTAACAATCTGATTAAATTGAATAATTACTATAATTTAATAATTTTCTGTAATTTATACAAATGAATTACGATTATAAAAGTTTATGCAAAGTTACATTTTCAGGAACAAATCTGAAGTTTCGTAGCAGGAGCACTGTATGTGTGTTAAAATTCGTATTGTACTTATCGTTTTTCGAGAACTTTTGTATTCTATAAAGGTATAAAATTTCACGATCTAATAACCTTGTTATTACCATAATAATAATACCTTAACTGCACCATAAAATTATTTTAAACACTAAAATTTCATGATAGATAAAGTAGCTCGAGGTCTATGAATTAGACAAAAAAGTCAATAAAACGTTTTCGTTTATTGAAATGGAGGACAAACAGGGCAGTATAATATATGAACACTTAAAGCACCTAATAAAATCAAGAAACTATAACCTTCATTGATTTATTATTTTACTTTTCTTAACGAAGTATTTATTGTTATAAAAATTCTTACAATACAAAATACAATATTTTGGATTATCTCTTAACGAGAGAACAAAGATAAGAAATCTTTGAAATAATATTAACGAAATTGATGTAGAAGCGTATTAATAAATTTTATTATTCGATAAATAATATGGAATTTAAGGAAGTAAACAATCTTCAGTTTAAAACATTCAAGATATACAAATTCATTTATCACAGATACAGATTTAGCGAACTCGTTTCGCTTGATTGTTAATGATAGTTGTCTTTTCACACTCTGAAACATGTTTATACAGTTATATTTCATTCGTTTACAAGTTTTAAAATTTTGAAACAACCAGCGATGACGCACCCGTCTGCTATTCAGTTCAGTATACGAAAGACCAGTAAAAATACTTTCTTCTTTGTACCGTAAAGGTTAAATCCATTTATCGAACGACAGTGATCAAGTGAAATAAAAGTTATCTTCAACGTACTTGTAGCATCTGCACAGTATCATAAAATGAACCCTTTTCTGTCTTTTATATTACGGTGTTTTTCATTTACACCAACGAAAAGTAATTATAAATTTCTGTTGAAAAAGTAACAGCTTTGACTTCAAGAAACATTACCTTAAATTGTCCCGAATTAACAATCACTAATAATAAAAACATTAGAGTTCTTTAGACTCTTCTTTGAGAATTCGATGTATTAGTTTGATGTTGACTATTCTTCTGTTTTAATTACATTTTCATAATTGAAACGTAGAAATAATATGCATAAATTACAATATCAAATCAAAACAACACACTGACTAATAAGCCGTATAATATCGTGTCAGACTCGTGGTGAAGATTTCAAATAAAATTTAACAAATATAAATATTATTTCATTCTTCCAAGTCCGAATTCAATATTATTTTTCTATTATTAATTGTTATGTTTCCGAGTAAACGTAGACATAGTATAAGTGTAGAACGTTCATCTTTTTCTAATGAATTACGAATAATAAAATATCTCTGTTTGGCATAATTGGGAAAGAAATTATAGGACAAGGGGTTAAACATCAAGTTTCACTCCGAAACCATGAAATCAAATTTTAAAGCAACGAAGTCAATTGCGGCGGCATTAAGAACAAAAAGCATCGAAACAAATACCCACCAGAGTTTCACGCTGGAAAAGTGAATTCGATCAGCCTTGCAAAGAAAAAATTAGCACAGACACTATCAAAATGGTGGGGATATCAGAGAGGGGACCTGAGGCCCCTTCCCCTTTCACTCCGAAGGAGCAACGAGTAACCGGACCCACGATTTCTTTCCTTCTTGGATACGTGGCGGGACGACGCTGGCGTCGCAATCGGCGAAGATCGTAACCCGCGATCTCGCGTCGGGAGGCCGAGGAACGCTCGTGCCAGCTGTGCGATCGTCGTCTGCACGCGGCGATCGGTGCACGTGGTCAGCTGGGAGAGTGATCGTGAACCCCTGATCCTCATCCGGATCGAAAGGTTTCACCTTGACAAAAAAGTTCGAGTCCAATCCCTGGACAAAATCCTTCGATCGTCATCTCGCGCTACCCAACAACGTGAAACGAGTGGTTCGAGGCTGAATTTCAAGTTAAAAACGCGCCAGTGACCTCTTCCTGAGTCATAGTTCGATCTCAGAGGCGTCGAAGCCTCGTCCCGTGTGGTTGTCCTGCTGTCCGTGCGATTAAACGGCTATCTGGGAACAAGTTTCACGGTGGACGAAAGTTTCTCCGCTGAAAGTGGGCTACACTTGTAAATAAAACGGTAACGCAGCAGCAGCCTCTTCCTTGGCTGCAAAGGACATCTTGAACATTGATATGTTCAATACTGGAGGGTTCTTAGGATTATAATTCTAGTGAAGAAAGTTCAATGTTTGCTTGTTCAGTTTTATAAATGGCTAGGAGTTTATGAAGACCTAAAGTGATCGGTGCAACATTTTGCTACATGTGTATCAGCTTAGCACTGTTAACTAGGTTCACAGAGTCAATCTGACGCGTATTGAATTTTATAAATTTTATTTGGTAACGGTATCAATATCAATTGATGCAGTTGAATGTATATGTTAATGTTTTATTTCGAAATTCCTAATTCCCGAGATGCAAATGGACATCGACTGTTCCAGGAACAGTAGACTATATTACACAGCAAACGTCCGTGAACCTAGTGCTTGTCGAGCACGGGACACCTCGGTAAGGTTGTCTAACAGCTTGCACCCAGGTATCCCGGCTCGAGCACCAAAATTCGGTTGAAGAATCCAGATGGAACTTCGTTTTGAGTTTCTACTTTCACGACCGAGAACGTTCGCGGCTGGCGAGCTGTGTTTGCTTGGAAGATTGCGATCGAAGAGAAGGTCCTCCGATCTGTTGGAGAAAGATATTGTTCCGTTTCCATCGCGTTAAACATGCCTGACGTGAAAAAGGAGAAGGACAAGGTGGACGATCGCATTGGGTCAGCGAAGCAGGCTGCGCGATCGAAAGTGTGCGAGGAAAGTGAGGACTTTCCAAGTGAGACTGAACACGAGTTCGAGTCGCTGGAGTATGAAGAGGACGCTTATTACTCGAACTTGACGGCGACCCCGAGTTTCGACGATGTGAACGAGCTGAGCGACGACGCGGACGAGATCGTGGTGCACTGCTGGCGCGACTCGAACGGCGAGATAGACGAAATCGTGGTGGACGACGGAAACCTGTCCGTGGAAACGGAGTTCATATCGGAGGACGCCGAGGGCGGCGCCACGGGGCGAGGACGCAAGAAACGGAAGTCCGTGCGGGTGATATTCCAGGACTTCTCGAAGCCTTACCTCGCGAAGATCAGTAACAGCCAGAATTACAAGAAGTTCCTCGAATTGGTAAAAGGTGCATTGTAATAATCGACGATGGTGGATGGGGTGTTCGCACCTGGTTTTAGGAACCGCAATTCTGAAGTTTGAAAGGGTTGTCGCTTTATAGGGAAGAAATGTTTGTCGATATGTGAACCGTTCATTTTGAAAGTAAGTCTATTGGGAAGAAAAGGTAAAACTGAAAAAATAAGATGATAATGTAGAATTGGGATTACTATTCTTGGGTTCTTAATGAATAATAATATTTTTATTAGTAACACAAACCGCAAGACAGCGCAAACATGTAGAATAAGAATATATTAAAGTAACAAAATCGTTACCCGAATTATTATTAAAACACAATATGTTAAATACGTCAATATATGTCCATTTTATATACTTTTCTAACAGTTATAACCATTAACTTGATTTTTTTGGGAAATGGACGTAGGCCACTTTCGAAATAAATAATTCATAGTAAACTTCAAACTGGATTGTTTTGATGGCTATCGATGATGCATACTTGATCATGTGTGATCTTAAAGTAAATGTTTTAGCTGCCGTTTGAATTCTTTTTTATTATGGAAGGGTGGCTTTAAACTAGAATTTGGAATATGTTCTTTATTGTGTATTATATATAGGTTTTACGAACTATTTAAAACTTTCTTGGGTGTAGATATATTCATAAGTAACTTTTTTTGTAATGGACGGAACTTTTTGTTCAAAAGTACAGTTTCTAAATAAATCACCAGTTGTTTAATCATCTTTTTAACATTCTGTATTTTTAAAATTTTTTGTATCTAGTTGAAATTTAAATTTGAACACGTAGTTTATGGATAAATTTTATTTTACGATTTTAATTTAGTTTTCTCATGCAAAACCATCAGAATTCCACTTGAACCACAATACGCACAATGTTTTCTTGTCATACTGACTCGTAAAAGGCGTATTGCGTAAGGAAAATGATATATTGCGCTGACTTGCATAAATAATAGCACAATAATTAAAATTCCGTGGAAATACATGTTCCGGACATGAAACGGTGGATTTCAAGTGATGTAATATATCTATTTATAATCTGCTCCTCTATATTCTATTTTATCCTCTATTTTCTATTTTTCTATTAGAATCGAATATATATATATAGAATCCCCATAATAATATTTTAGAATTTATTTTAAAGGTATTTTAGAGGGACTATTTTAAAGATTCACATTACAATAACAATAAAAATGTCTTGCATAAATTTTAGAAATTGTTCAAATACTTGTAGACAGCAGTGTAGCTTTAAATATTAATTGAAAAAGTATACTCCAATTCTCTCGTGTAAACATTTAGCTTTTGAAATAATGAAATTTGACTTGTCTGATCAACACTAATTGTACCTACTTTGTGCGGCATAATATAATTTAGCAAACAGGCAATAGTAAACTCGATACAAGACAAATATTTCTATGATCAATATTTATCACGCGTAATGGTATAAAAGATTTTTCTGAAGGACGACCTATATTAACATATTTTATCTTAAATTTTCGACCTGTTCCAATTATGAGATCATTTCATGTTTGTTCAGTTTGTATGCAGACTACGTTACGTAACTTGTCAATTTATTTCTCACACATAGTTACGTGACATTCGTCGCATACAGATTTTACTTAGAATTAATGATTATTACATCAGATTTTGCATGAATTACAAGTTTAATTAGTTTATTCAGAATTTTCAGTGTGCATAAAAACTAAAGTTTGATTATCTATGAATAAACACTTGAAATTGCATTTACTCTACTTTCTTAGAACTAATAAAAGTACTTTCAAGACTCAATTAATTCAGTAATTATACAGTTTCTTTTTTAAACGAGAAGCTTATATAGTCGGTTTATCAAAATTTTGGTTTCTGATTATGGGCGCGTGTTCTTAATTACAGTATTCATAGTGAAGTCGACGATAGATATAGCAATTACACGAGTTTGTTGTAGAGAATAGTTTTATTTCAGCTGGGCTTCGATTTACATTAACTTTCCCAGGATGTATGGCGTTGCAATACATTTTTTCGTTAGGGAATTTCACACTATCTAATAGATGATTCATCCTACTTGATTTCAACTGCAAACATTTTTCTTGATGCTAAGTTCTGCTTCGTTGAGACATGTTCAGTCGAAACTTTCATTACTTTGTTTTTAACCATTTAATTATTTTATTTTAATATGTTGGAAATGGGAACAATTAAATTGATTTTGTCTGTGATTTTAATGTTACAATTAAACTGTTGATGTTTATGGAAATTTCTATTTTCATAGATTACTTCACATACATTAAAATAAAAGACAAATGTTTTTCACCAGCTAGAAAATTTCTTTTAATAAAAATAAGATAGTAATACTATTAATCTCTTATAATATGCATTTTCTTTATTCTTAATCTGAATAAAGAAATACCAATTAATCCGTTTCTTTTGAGAGAGTTTTGATTTATTTTACACCGGTGACCTCCGCGGCATTCAACGTGTTAAAAATAAAATTGTTTGTTTAGAAATTAAGAATTAAGAATTTTATTGTGTTTATATATTCCAGTGAAATATAAATGGATAGTGACGATTACGGTTGCAAATCTTCGTTTATTTTACTGTTGAAGAAGTACCCATAAATTAGAATCAGCACGCAGACGATATAAGTGGGACACCATTGCAAAATATGAAAGTGAGAAATGTATCAACGTTTCGCGATGTCGTTTTTAGCGTCTTTTCATCACGGTTTCCTTCGTACAACAAATAGAAAGTAAAAATGTTGCTATCAGAAACCGTTTCAATCATTTCTTACTGAAAATAATGTGTGAAATGAAATTTCGAATAATGGAAATTTAATTGAGTAGATATATACCACATTAGATTTATGGTTAGACAAAAACGAAGAAACTTATTATTTTAACACCAGAGCTTTTTCTTCTTGAATATTATTTGTATTTCGTAAAGACGGTATGTTTTATTTAATCCCTAGCCCTATAATTTATGTTTTAGCTGTGATCAACGCAACTACGTTAATAATTTATTAAGAAAAGAGAATTTTTATGCTTATTCTGTGTCGACATTTACTTCAACGGTTAATGATTAATAATAGAAAAGTAATATTTAATTTATATTTAAAAAATATAAATAACACTTAAATTTCTCAAATTCAGTTTGAAATTTTTGTCACGAGTTTGACACGATATTATAAATGAAGGAGTTAACCTCGTCAATGTCGAATTCTTTTTAAGAATAGATAACAATAATTTTAATTTCCATTTGATTGCAATTTCTTTTGTTCAAACTGCTAAGAATTGAACAATACAAAAAGACCAACAGAGGCAATGATGAAAAACATACGAAAGAAGCAAATTTCCATTCGATGGACGTTAATATTAAATTAAAATCAAACGTACACATACATGTGTGTCAGTATTTTTTAAGGAATTAATCCCTTACAGTATAATTTGTTTTACAACTGCACGCGACAGAGCTATTTTATTATTGATAATCGATTAGAAGAAGAAATAATACAATAATAATATTCAATTTTGACTTGAAAGAATTAAGTGACATTTACGTATGTTAAATTCCATTTGAAATCTTCGCCACGAGTCTGACACGATATCGTAGAGTTAATTATTTTCATAGGCTTGTTAGAAATTCGTTTTGAAACAAACTTTATAGACCAATAAGTACTGTTGAATTAAATTTTGTTGAATTACACAATACGCCTTTTAATTTGTTTGTTTGTAATATTTATTAATGCATTGTAATATAAACGGTATATCGAGAGCACTGAGACTTTTTGGATAGTTTAATATTATATTTATTTTGTGTAGCCTAGCGTTAAAGAAATTAGTTTAGCAATGCGCAAACTGATTTGTAAATCAATTAAAGTTTCAATAGACGGACTCTTCGTCTATGAAAACTCGAATTTCAAAATGTCGATTTAACTGCTCGGTAGTTTTAGTGTTAACAGTGTTCATCAAGTTCAGACTCCTTCGAATTTTCATCATCAATCTACTCTTGTCTGCAGCGACAGATATCGGTTCACTGAATTCGCAAAAGTTTCCGGTGTTTACAAATTGACGATATCCAGGATGCTTGTTTAGATAGAAATCAGAAAACTACAACCAGATCTTCGTTCCCGACCACGTCTGCCAGCAAAAAGTAGAAGCAGTTATTCGCATACCGTACTTATTTTTTTCTAGTTCGAACGACTACTCGTATCCGTTCGTCATTAAAGGAGCCAGAGCAGCTGACAGGTGTACACGAGCAAATATTTCGAACAATGATTTCACCTTTACGAGCCCCGGTTACGTTGCTTTTTACTATGAAAATTCGATGTACTGCCTGGCTTTCACTTCGCATAGTTTTTACGTAAAAAGAATGCGGAGATTCACGTTGCTGTTATCTGGAATTTAATTAAAAAGCACTGTGTCTAATCCGTAAAAACAGAAAACGGTTCGCATTCGTTCGAAGATACCGGAAGCGTTTTTCATTGGATTGTTTGATGCTCCAGCTAACTGTAATCGTGTGAAATACGTCAGTTTTTATTTGTAACTTAAACCCTGGTTGTAGATCATTTTTTAATTATAAGTAGGATTTTTTCGTAGAGAAATTATTGAGAATAATTGATATTTTTAGATATTTTGAAATTTGAGATTTGGATCGGTGTTTCTTCGTTTAATTAAAACTTATGTAGAATTTGAAGTGTAATGCAAGTAAGAGCAGGAAACTGATTATTTATTCTTCAGCGTGGCGCAGAAAAAGTTAAATTATTCAATTATGAAAATGGTATTTCCTAGAAAGTACTTGTTCGTTTTTACAGGAAATAGGAACTGAAAATATATTTATTTCCATGCTGTTTGTAAAATGTGTGTGTGTGTCTGTGTACTTTTGTAAATAGTTTTTGAACTTGAAAACTGAATAGAAAAGTGTTTGTTTTCTATTAAAAATTTTATATGTTTTCACTAAATCTGTAACAAGTTTTATCGTATTATGTATTGCACACCTTTGTTAGTTATGAACGCAGAAAAAAACTGTAGTTCATTAACACAAAAAAGAAATTCTTGTATATATCAACTTTTAATAACATAATGATTTTTCAATTATTAATATTTTAAAAGTGTTAAATATTTCAAATGATTTTAAGAATAAATAGTTTCACTTGAATACTATAATAAATACATGAAGTAACCGAAAGAAATCTATTGTTACAATTTTTATAAGAATTACATATTAATTACATTAAATTCTCGATAGTTTTAGTATTAATAATATTTCATTTTCAAATCACTTTCTTATAGAATTTTCAAATTGAAAGTAATTTTCACTAAAATTCGTTTTCCAGCTTCAATTTCGCTCGACTGAGGCCTGAATCGAGTCGAAATATTTGAGTTTTTATGTGGCTCAAACCATTTATTTTTGGTCTGAAGTGAATTTCACAGGTCTTTCAGACTAGAAAAAAGGGATCAGCATAAAAAAAAGTACCGGTTCTCGTAATTCGAGTTTCTCGTTCGAGTCGTGCGTAATACGATCGACAAGGCGACAACGATCTGTCCCGGTTAGAAGCCATTTACGTAATTCTCATGCGATATATCATCGATAAATCCGCAGAATTTTTCCCGCCTCTCTTCGACAACTTTGTTGCTGTGAACTGACATGATGCGGCATGATCATCGATAAATTTTATACGGGACCGGTTCAACTTGTTTTGATACTTATTTTGCAACGTCTTTATTTTTACGAAATGCAGCGTTCTTTAAATAAAGAAATGCGTGTCAGTGCAATTTTGTCACTAGCTGTGACTTACAAAAGTGTTCGTAAGGAGAGTGATATCATCATTTAATAAAAGAATATTCTTTCCGTTTAATTAAAGATGGAAACATTTGTTTCATTTTATTATTTTTTATAAAGATCCGTGAATATTTTGAGTTTTTTCAATTATTTAGCGTTGCCGATTCAAAGATGATCCGACTTTCTCTGGAAATTAGATTTTTCTACTGTCTCTTTGAATTTTAATCTGTTAAATTCATTAAGTATTTAGAACCAGTTTCAGTACGATATTGTAATACAAATACACAAATGTAACTCAATTACTCGCTAAAGACACTTAAACTTCAATGTTCTATATTTAAAACATGATATAACGTTTAAAATTTTTAAATCTTTTCAATTGAATATTTAAAAGAAAAAAATACAAGAATACAAATAGAAAAGAACAATTAAAAGACAGAGTGTAAAAGATTAGCCCTTTGTACTCGAAAGACAGATTTCCTAATAGTTATCACTCGAATTGTTGCAGCGAAATTATAAAATTTCCTATTCGCTATGGAATTTTATACGATCAAAATATTAATACACAAACTATAAAAGTAACAAAATTTTGCTGCTTAATTTGTCTATGATTTTTTTTTATATTACTATTGTAAAAAGCTTGTCGATATTTGTGCAGAAAATGATGAATATTGATAGTAAAACAGTTTCCACTACAAAGGGTTAATTAATTTTGCTACACAGATTCAATGTTTGCTCTGTTCGACGTATTTCTCTGACGCCTTGCGTTTCTTGCAGGAGAAGACGCCACCCTGCACTCGTCTGGGTACATCTCACCGTCGTCGGACACTGTTGTGAGCGAGTTACAAGGACTTTCCTTGGAGGAGCAAGACCGACAGAAAGCGGAATGGAGTGCGGAACTCGCCAAAGTATGTAACTCTATCTTCCCAGAGTAAATCTTTGACCACTGTAATGGTAAAATAGTACTCTTAAGGGTGTTGGAGGTCTTCGGGTTCGTGCTTGAGCTTCGTCGTTACGGGAAACTAAGATTTATTCGAGCGATCAATTCCCACAGCTCTTGTGCCTGAAAAGAATCTGAGGATTTGAGCGTGAAACTTTTTAATAACGAAAGTATGTGGACAGATTGAACTTCAATATGGGGGTATTAAAGTATTTTTCAATGAAAGGTTTGGTCTTTGAGTTAGAGGAATTTTCTTAGGGAACGATGATTGAAATTCTTTCTGAAGAGTTCTGTGAAAGAAAAATTATTAGGAGTACTTTTATTAAGTTTTTTGTGTTATGTTTTAAAAATTTAGAAATGTTTAGCTGTAGTTGTTTGATTTAGTTCTTACGGTGTGTAGGTTACAGGCTAAAGAATACATTAATATTGGGCACTGAATAAAATGATATTATTAAATTTAATACATTGATCCAGTATTGTATTATTTAGGTTTAAAAGTCCGTTTCAGTTTGAGTTAATGATCACTGCTTTCTGAATGATAATTTAATAAATGAAATAGAAGATTTGTAATGCATGAAAAATGTGTTACAAGTGAAAAACGATACTTCAAATCAGTATATTAGATACATCATTTCTATGCATATACATCTATATATTTTACAGATTTATTTCTTGCTTTATATTAAAAACTGTTATTTAATGGTTTCCAACATTAATTGTGCATTATATGTAACAAAAATTGGTATTTGATAGCTGAAAATAGCTGAAAATTTACACAATGTTCATGAATTAAATAGTTTTTCTTTTGATTGTACACACTATACAACTATTTAACTGAAAGATACCTTCCCTATAAATTTGTTATATGTACAATATTATTAAAATATTATTTTAACTTTTACTACTAAAATATTATTATTTTAATGATTATTATTAGAATATTATTTTATTTATTGTTACTAAAATATTGTTATTTTCATTATTATCATTAAAATATTACTATACAGTTTTAATCTTCGATTTTCTCGTGGTGAGGCTGAGGAATTTACGTATTGTAGGTCGAAGAGGAGATTCAAACCCTAAGGCACGTGTTGGCGAACAAAATTCGGGTGTCTCAAGAGCTGAAGAGGAAGTTGGGCATCAGCATGTGGAAAGAGATCACTGATGACATGAACCAGGGCTTGAAAAACGTAAAGGAGAGTCAAGTGTACGTCTCTATTCAATCATCGATAGCATGCACACATATCTTTACCTATCACCCTCATCTCGCACCAAAAACGGAGTCTCTGGCACGGTTTTGTCAAGGTTTTCGGTATACTAAACAATTTTTCAACCATATTAACTTATTTCAAAGCATTTAATTTAATTGTAAATAATATTTAAATCGCATCTCCTTTTTATTAAGTAAAAAAAACTCGAGAACTCAAAGATTATATTATTTGTTACATATTCCAACTTCGAAGATAAAAGATTCTTATATAATTAACAATTGTTTTAGTTCATGAAATATTACATAAATTTTATAAATGTAAAGTAAAAATTTTGATCTTTTTCAGAAGTGAATTCAAATATCTGCAAATATTTATTAAAGTAAATTAGTACTGGTGATTCTTCCACTAGTAATTTTTCAGATATTCAATCATGTTTACCATCCTCAACATAATAATCAATTAACTACATCATTTATTGAAGCGTGTATCACATTTAACACACCCTGCATTACCGGATTATAAAATAAATAATTTCAGTTATATTTAATAATTTTAAAAAATAATTTTACTCACTTTTCGAATCTATTTATTTTACAACATAACACGTATTTAAATACCGTCCTTTGACCTACTGCCAATGCCGGAGACTCTAAGTACCAGTCACGAATGTTACACGCGAATAATTGAGCGGTTAGAGCAACAGCTAGAAAAGCTTCTCCTGCCTTTGCAAAGACATCAAGGTTGTCCAAAGCCGATTATGTATAAATGAATTTACTCGTGCGCGAAACTGTCCCCGGTTTCTTTGTGCCGTAAGTAGACGTCCGCACAGGATATCTTATGCACCTTTGTGTTTTTCACTTGACATTTATGTAACATGAATAAGTTTGGTTGCATTCAGTATTATTTTTTATTTGTTAACAAAGTACTGAATAATATAACTATAATTTATGGTATAATTTTTATTTTGTTTTGTGACCGTTTCCCATTTTAACCATTCAATGACGACGTCTGTGCTAAAGTTCTTTTTACTTTATTTTTACATTGTTGGAATATTATTTGTTTTCAATTTTTCTACAATAAAATACAGCTTCGAAAATATTAAGAAATTTTAATTATTAACAGATTATACTTCGTAAGTGTTAATCTTAGGGATCCTTAATTATTTTCGTTTGTTTTATATTATTTTTTGTTTTCTTTGTGTTTTATTGAAGCTAACGGAAATGCTACAAAAAATTATGAGCATTATTTATTGAACATAATTATCTGTAATTTATTAATAAATACTATTAGTCTGGGGTAGGTAGAAAATAATTAAGTTCTTCGCGTTGAAACATATTTATGCTAGCAACCAAATTTGTTTATCTTACAGTTTATTATTATTATTATTATTATTATTATTATTATTATTATTATTATTATTATTAAGTCTAGCGATAGACTGATTATCGACGAAAGAAAATTATAATTTTATTCGCAATGGCGAGAAACGAAATGCATGCTTACCATACCCACCGATGTATTTATTCACTTACGTTCATCGGTTTAATTTCGTTCCGAATTTTTTCGCGAAAGGTGACGGCTACTGTTCTTCCATACCCTTTTCGTTTATTTTCTGCTACTTTTGCCCCTTAGACATGTAGAATACTTTTCTTTGACTTTTGGTTGGGTTCTCATTCAGTTATCAGAACGTCGGGGAGAAACTCAGTCAGTTCACCAAGGCAGTCTCCGAGAACACTTTGTAAGTACGCAAACTGTTGTGTTTTCCTTAGGATCCAACATTTCTACCGCGACAGTAGCCTCTAACCCTTCTGCAGTTCCATCAAATGAAGTTTAAGAAAAATAAAGAGTGGTACAGCTTTTAGTTTAGCTTTCACATAAACAAAAACTTTTATTTTTATAAAAAATTAAAAGATTGATTCACACTAGAGAAAATACAGAACAAGTCCATTCTTGCTAATTGTATTATTGGTATACATATTCAACAAAATAATTAAAACCTTAAATCATTATTAAAGTTTTTAATTTTTTCATTATGCTTTAAAAATTTATCAAAATAACAAATAAAGCAGAAATAGTTTTAAAAAGTAGGTATAAAATAATATTTGTATTACATTTCAATTAAAAACCAGCAATTGAGGATTAGTAAATAATATCTTCAATTAATAATGAATTACAAATATAATATAATGTTAAGAATCTTCAAACAGGAATTAATTTCGTCAGTCGATTAAATCAATTGGCAACTAATTTCCTTCAGTGAACATTAATCAATCAAATTAAAGAATTCGACTCAAACACTGTCAAACTGCAAAATGGTTAAACCCTAACCCAGGCTTGTCCAACCCAGAGCCCAACAAAAAAATCATACTTACAAACTTGATGAAATTGTGGCTAAAAGACCATTAACTCCTTGCGCTAAGTACTTCAACGATTTTCATTCGTGATTACAATTTCGGACCAAATATGAATGGCACGAGTGAGGCTTTAGCTCACAACACGAGTGATCTTGGTCTTTATAATTATGGATCGTATTTTGCCCGGCTAAGTGGTACTGCAAGGGGTTAAAAATAGCATAAATACAATTTAAATATGCTATTAATCTGTTAACTATGGAATTTAGTTTAAAAGTCTCTCGTTTTGTACAGAATAAAATCAAAAAATGAAATGTGTACTCGTCAAACACAGGACGAATGCACTCAGGGTATATTTTAATGAAAATTCAAAGCGAAACATAGGCGTATTGCATGTCTATCCAAAAAAATAAAGAATTCATCGTTGAAAGAATTAATATCATTTCAAGCTTTAAGATGACGTGTATACTCATCAAACGCAGTTAACTGGTTAATTCATGTGCGGCCCATAGCAATTCATCTTTTTCCAATGAAGCCTACAAAAGCTAAAGGGTTGGACACCCTCGCCCTAAACTGTAGGAACTAATCAAACCGTTTGGATTGTGCCGAGTAACTTGCTTGCGTTTCGAAAAGAAATTTTGGATCACAGTTTTCACGCGTTGCACCGTTCCCTTTCGCAATCTTCGCGTAGTCTAGAGTGCGACACTTCAGTAACACGCATCGGGGAAGCAAGAATCGTTGAGCCGATTACATTGCTGCCGGTGAACCGATGTCACCGACTTCGAACCGCGACAACGCATTCCCCTATGAACTGCTTGGCCGCGGAGTAATCGCAGAAATGCAGTCAGCTTCGTCTAACAGGGATCAAGGAAGAGAACGCACGCGGAATGGTGTGACTAACTGTATAACCAGTAGTGATATTGTTTCGATGAAGCGTTTGGAATGCGAGCGAGTACGTTGACCCATCGGTTTCATTCATTGCGTCGAGTCCTAAAGTTGATGATTGACTGATCAGCGTCACCACGTGGTGCTGATCAGCCAGGACAAGGTTTGTAGCCAGGGTGAATGAATATTTATCGTTTGCCCGTTATACAGATTTCAGAAGACAGAGTCCGTCTTCAAGACCACGGCTGAGAAGACGTCCAGCATCTTAGGAGGCTTCGGCAGCGGATTGTCCATGAAGCTCGGGCAGATGCGGAACTCCGACAGCTTTCGTTCGCTGGAGGAGCGCGTTGGGTCTGCTTACGAAAATATGAAGGTATTTATATTGTTTATGTTAGATCGTTCTATAAGTTCGCGGTATGTCTACTTCTCGTAATATACAAGGTGTTTCTAAATTATTGCGTACGAATGATAGGACGTATACGACCCACTAAACTGACAAGGGAACCTTTTCAACCAGCACACGCCAATTTTGATGAAATTTATGTGAAACATAGTTCTGAAAAAAATATTTGGCACATATTTTTTCTTCTCTTATAGCCAAAAGTAACAGTAATACGAAGAAATTGGAAACAAATGTTACGGGGTGTGCAGTATTATATATCACGGTGGCAGGTATTTGACCGTGACGTGACCTTGAAACGTCATGGTAATGTAATGTTATAATTCTTAAATAGAACCTTATGGTTACTATTCCATATTTTTGAAGTTTACATTTAGTTGGAAACTATTAAGGTTTGGACTCATGTTTACTGGGTTTTTATTACTTAGTTTAGTGAGTTGTACACGCACTATCGTTTGTGTGCAATAATTTAGAAACACCTTGTATATAGTTGTATTTATAGTTCTACAATTTGAGTGACTAAACCTTTACGCTTTGATTTAAGCAGTAGGAGGTATTCGAGAGTGACAGGTCGTAAAGTTATAAGAATTCTGTATTTAATAAAATGTTATTTTAAAAAAATAAACACGAACTTATGTGGCGATTTAATATTAACACGTTGACTACCACGGTGGTCATCGGTGACCGGAGTCTTGAATTGCTTGGAAATGATTGTAATAGGAATATTGATGTCGAAGAAAAATGTTTAGTAACGTGAGTAGCTAGATAATAGTGCAACGTGAGAACTGTGATATCAAATTATTAGTAATTAGTTCTAATACTATTTGCCTTTGATGTGAAAGAATAAGTGATATATGAGATGCTCGATATTGTTGTGGTATTTAACGTGTTAATTGCTTGATGATTTCTTTCACAGTTATGATTGATAAAACTATTTTATCGATAATAATTTAGTAGAAAAGGAAGAGAATTTGATGGTTTTTTAGTGTCTACATTTACTCTAAAGATTGAAAATTGACAATAGACAAGTACTGTTTGATTTATATGAAAAATAAATAATATTTAGATTTATCGAATTTGGTAGAAAATTTTTATTACTAGTCTGACTCGATATTATGGGGGAAGCACTTAATCCCTTAATCCTTTGCGAAATGTTATTGGCATTTCACTTTGAGCCATTGAGACTATTTAATTCAATTACAGCTTAATAGGGCACTCCAATTATCTACTGAATAATACTTGGCAACCATTGAAGTGATACCTTTATGTGATGCAATTGTGGTACGACAAATAGTTATAGCGAAAATTTTTAAAATATTAACCGAAATGGAGAAAGATGTAAAATAAGTGCAAATTATCAAATTTCTCTATTTTTCTTTTTATGAAGCTAACCACTTTGTTGAACAAATGGTTCATACACCGATTTGAAATAACATAAGTTTAAAGCCACTAATTTGCATAATAGATATGACAGAGTACTAGATATTGCACTCAGTTTGCGGTAAAGTGCAGAGCAGCGGTTTAACTGACCACATGCAACGACTCTATATCGCTTGCCAACTCCGCCGTAATGAAGGGTCAATCTACCGTATTCGTGTTAACCCTTATGTCACTAACCAAAGGGTGCAACCAGATAAGGAAGTTAAAAATGCTCTTAGACCAAATTAAACCGAAGGTAGAACGTGACATAATTAGTAACAAGTAACATTTTGTACTGAGTTTCAACCCTCTATTCAGATCAGGAGAGTAGTTAACATTAATACCTTCACTTATATGAAATTAAAAGTTGACTGAAATAAAAAAAATTTCTAATACCAGTTACCGCAAACTTTTACCATTAAGACAAAGACAAAAATCATAAAATTTATTTAGTTTGAAATATTAGAAGACATTTTACGATTTACAAAGTTAATTACAGTTATCGAGGTTCAACTGTGTATAATATCAATGTATGCTGATGTTTTTCGTGGTAAACAATGGCGTTAAAAACTATGGTACTAAATCGTTAACAATTAATTCCAATACCACCTGTCTTTATTATGAAACAATAAATATTTTACAGAATGCTAAAAATTCTGACGGCGATCAACGTGTTAGGGGTTGAAAAAGAGCAACCAAATCATTAAGTGACCGTTTGTCCTTTTCAGACGAAAGTCGTGCCTTCAAGATCCACTTCGATGCAGAGCTTCGACGACGCTCTCCGAGAGTCCGAAGCGGCGAGACGCGCTTCCGCCGCACCGTCAACGACCAGTCCGACCATTCCCGAAGACAAGCTCCTCTCTTAGAGCTGGGCCCTCGAATTCACATCGATATTCGCCTCTTCTCCGCGTAACATGCTGACGTGTCGGATCCGCGACGTCCAGTGGTTTCGCTCTATGCTACCTGTAATCACTTTTCTACCGCATTGCTAATAATCAGGGCTAAAAGCGATATTCGCGTCGCTAATCGATTTGTATAAGTGAGAACGTTGGCCGAGGTGAGAGAGAAAACAGAGAGGGAGAGGAAGAGAGAGAAAAACTGTGGGAACACGCTTCGCGTTGGCTTCGCGAGACTCGATTTCCTTGTTTCTCCGGTGTGTTCTTCTTACGCGAACACCTCGCGAGACATCATTGTTGAAAATTTTATCTGTACTTCGGTCTATACGCTTCGCGATCATCTGTGCTGCACAGTGTACGTTCGCTCTTTTCCATTGTATCCCTCCGGGGCGAAATAAGCGGTTTACATACGTTTGATTTGTTTATCCTGTTTTTTATTTTCTTTTTCTATTTTCTTCTTTTTTTCTTTTTGTTCGATTCGAATGATGCAGGATTCTTCGTGCGATTCGCCGCGAAATTCTCGTTTTCCGTTCGCGTTTCGTTGCTCGCAGCCTCGATGCGTTGCGGGCGGTGTTGCATTTTTGTGTCAGGCCGTCATGTTACTCGAGAAGATGGCGATTGATTCCTTTATTTTATTGAACTTGTTTGCACTATAGCCGTTTTTATAATGCATAATAATATATCGTTGGGTACGTACCTTAATGTTTTGCGTTGCAACCTTTATTCCTTCGCACCGTCGATACGTGAAAGTAGGCACATGCTTTAATAGATATTTACTGATGACGTTGCGCTGTTGGACATTCTCACGGTAGCATCGGTAATCCTGCTTCGGGAACGATACGTTACTCCCTTGGAGAACAGTTTCGATACTTTTCCGATAAGACTTGAGTACTCGACAATACTATTCCGTTACACGTGGTACGTCGTCGATTTGCTATTTCTTAATTTCTTTCAAGGTTGTTTATAGTTTGGCTGATGTGGCTGGGAATTGATAAAACGCGTCGGTAAAAGTGCACCGATGGAGGAAATTTAGGAGAAAATCTTTTTAAAAAACTCAATTTTCATTTAGTACTGTGAGTTAATCATTGATGTAAGAATGACTTAGAATTATTAATTGATATATTTAATCATAGTGACGCAAGAGAGAAGTCAATAAGCGTCATCTGTTAGTCGCGTGACTTCTTGCGCATGGCAATCCTGACCTCAACCAGCCGAACTATAATATTGAATTTTGAAATTTCGAATTTAATTTCTACCTGGTGTAATATGGCCAGCATTTTCTTATGTTTCTTGTCGCAGTGACAACGCATTTACGAATGATATAAATGTTTCTGTACTCGCGTGAGCCGTATCCACGAATTGACGATTGAAGTTTTTTAGTTGGCAACACACGATGATGAAACGTTTCGTTTATTGAATAAAGTAATATAAAATTTGAGGGTATATTTATCCGCACGTTGTTTACAAAATGACATCTATTTTAAATGTTACGAATAGAAAGATGTTCTAATGGCAAATTAACCAGGAAATCGTGACTATTTTTTTGCGAGCTCTATCAACAGAATTACGTGGTGTGTGAACGCGCGGCGATCGGAGCACGTTTATTTGTCACGGTGTGTGTAACGCCGGAAACAACAAATGTGCACGAAAATAGACGTAAAAATGTCTGGTGTATTTTAATCCACGTGCCACGTCGACGCGCGGATGACCATTTACGAAACTAAGTGTCAATACAAATCTAATGCAAGTACTACGTATGTGTTGGTTCTACGCTCATGATTGTCATCAACAACCTGCTACACAATCTACTTGTTCATATTGGTGAATAAATTATTTTAAGAAATGTCACATGTGGAAAGCGATTTCTGTCCCGTAGTTCACAACACGGCGTAACGTTCGCTCGTATATCGTTGTATCAAAATCTGTTTGTATTTATGATCATTTATTATAACAATATATTTTCTTATGGAACATCGGTAAATCCGTTTCCCTGGTATCTTACGATTTTATGTTTTGTTCGAAAATATTGTTTGTTAATTTGGATTATTTTTTTGCATGTGTTATTTATCTACCAAGGAGAAATATAAATAAAATATTTATATATTAAAGGTTTAAATATTTTTGAGTGTATTTATTAGAACATCGATATAGAGTTTAATTGGTGTTTAGTATGATCATATTTTCTGAGTGAATTTTAATCGAATTTATCAGAATTAATTAAAAAAATTCATGTACACTTCCAAAATACGAAGTGTGGAACGAGAAATATTTGATAGAAACATTCCTTCTTAAACATATTGAAATTTCTATTTAGTCATTATAATTATTATTCTTTGAAAACAGATATTGGAAAACATTTTAGAAACTATAAGTTTCTTGTAATTTATACAACTATTTTTTAAAGTAAATATTATTAACTGATACATCCGCTGCATGTTTCTAATATATAAGGCTAATAACATACAGCAAGAGTGAAGTCTCGTGAAAGTAAACCTTGTCACGTTTAATTCTTCTTATACCTTGACTTTCCCCTATATTACATTTTTCTTGATTCAATTGCTCGAACAACATCAAGTTCTAAGTAAGAATTTCAGTCTTGCTCGAAATGTATTTTTACGGCTAAAAATCAAAACACAAGAAATTAATGGAATAATTGTTTATCGCGTATGCTAGATCAATCGACTATCGCTACAAACAATCGCTACAAAATATGGCCTTCCGAACCAGTTGTTTAATACATATTCAACGTTGAATTTGTATCTCATGGACATTTATAGATAACTGTCTCGTTTTATTAAGCTGATTTCATTTCTTTTCTTTTTGCATGTTCCTAATGTAATGGATATGTACGGTTGCGATGTTATCGGTATGTACATAAATAAATTATTAAAACTTGTAAAAATAAAGGAACTATAAATATATTAATGCAAATCTCGCAATGTAAACAACAATTCGATTTACCTTTTTATATTCTGTATTGTTCTCTACCATTTCAATCGTTTCTTTCTTATGAGTTTTATGATGTAAATAAATTAATAATATAATTAAATAAATGAAAATAAAATTTTTTCAAACAAAATGAATACTTTTATAGAAAAAAATAGGTGAAATTTAAAGACTATTTAAAAGTTGTTCAATACAAAAAATGTCGGTTATGTGTTAATACGTTCACTATTGTCATTTGTTTTGATGACAATCAGAAGATTGACCTGCAATATTTTATTAAATTCAGACAATGTTCTAAATGAAGTATTGTAAAAATAAAGCTTAAACTACAGAGTTATCGAGTTTCTGAATATAATGTTATATCTTGTAACTTTAAATAATAATATATACAACATTTATTTCATTTTCCCTATGTAAAAACGTGTTAACCCTTTACCCTCGAAAGGCTATTCTCAATAGTCATTTTCGATTTAATGTAGCAAAATGATGAAATTCAATATTTGTCATTGAATCGTGTATAGCGTCTCAATCTACGAACTATTAGAAAACAAATTTTTAAAAAATTTAAATACTTTTATTAAATAATATTTATTATATTTAATATTAAAGATTTTTCAATTTACACACGATATCCTTCTACATCAATTGTTAATAGATGTTATCGCTGTTTCACCAGAAAATTGTGATCATTTCTAGCGAGAAACCTTTCGAATGCAAAGGGTTAATAGTGAACACCTGTTCGTTACCATGAACGCGGAGAATCAGATGGAAGCAAGGATCGCAAATACGGAAGGTACACTCATAGTACGCTCAGTACACAAGGTATTAAAAAAAGGAATTGGTCAACTACTTTATTGCCATTCTGCACGTGGTACAAAACATAGTTCGGGCGCGTACGGGCGCGCTTAAGTACAAAACAAAAACGATCCTCTACAAGTAGTCTTCTCCAGCTGCATGGCGAGAGCAAACAAGTAAAAAGATTACAGGGAAGAAGAAGAAGAAGATGAAGAAGATTAGAGAGCGCGGAAAGTAAGAGCAAGAAATAGAAGTAAAAGGGTTGACAGACAGAGAAGATAGTGGGTAGAAAACGGTCAGCTCCGGATTGTTGGAAAAGAAACAGCGGGAAACGGGAACCGTGTTAACATTATATTCGTACATGCTCGTACATAATATCTGTGTATTTGTATACGTATAGAAACATGTTAACAACATAAAATGTAAATTATTCACATAACACAATAATCCGTGATCTACAATATTATAACGATCTGGTTTTGTACTGGATAGGCCAACACATACGTTTCCTATATACATAGTTGAGACTCTTTTAAACATTCGTTTTAATATCCATTGTGTCACAATTACAAATAAAGAAATAGAAGGGACGAAGGGGTGCGTGGGAGCAGGGATCAAGGATCTATCATTTCCTTATAGTTTACACAGCGCGGGAATTTGGGCCGCCGCTTCGCCCGGGCTATTGTAAACAAGCCCGTTGAGTATTATTTATTTATTTATTTATTTATTTATTTATTCGTTTAGTATCTCGTTGAACGTATCTCTTTGCGAATAATATTTCGTTACCATGGTAACCTTGGGTTCGTCATCGTTTCACGATGGTCAAACTAAACACACCACCGTCGCTTTCGCTACCGTCTAACAATTAATATCGTATCAACTAAGGGAATAGTGTAAGCAGAAGAAAAAAATATAAATATATTTATTTATATATGTATATATAAACAAAAGGGAGTAACATTAAATTAAGAACGCAGCGTAGAGTAAAATTGGAAGGGATTATCGTATAATACAACGGTACCTTGAGTTTAAATCCTTAACCTATGATTAATGATTGTCTTTAAGAAATCTCAGTTCCCGGTGCAAATTCAATCTGTGCTGAGATGGAGTTCTAACCAATCGTTAATTATCGTTCGAAATTTCTTATTTACCATTTTTCGAAAGAAGAATGGACACGATTTCGACGACCGTGCCGTTCGATGCTGAAAATTTCTTATCGCGTTGTCTTTTATTTTTGTTTTTTCAAATAAAATGCACTCGATATCTTTCGTCGCGTAGGTTTGTTGCATTTTTCGAATGCACGCGAAATCTGTGCGCCGATCACGTGCAAACGCGATTATGACGTGACGTGTCCTCCTCCTCCTCCTCCTTCTCCTCCTCCTCCTGCTCTTCGTGATAATAAAATTCAACAGTTACGGCCGGACCGCGGCATTATCCTCGTTTACTCGATTCAACCGTGGTGACCTTTGTACGTGAACGTTGCACCTTTCCGTGCAATCTTCCATCTACGGGTACCATTGTTGTATCTCATACCTCGTGTTTACGGGGAGACGAGGGTGTGCCACACCTCCGTTCTACCTTCAGAAGGTTAACGCGCCGTAGCGGTATTATATAGTCAACCACAATGCGGCACGGATGCCGAGGCGCTGAAAAATCTCGTGCTGCGCGCACGCGGCTGAATAAATCTCCGTGAATTTTCGCTCGATGCCTAAATCCACCTTCTAATAATACTCTAATAATATTCGGTAAATCTTTGCTCACGCGTTAAAAATATTTTATCCGTTACGATGTTGTAAAAGGAACGGAAGAAATGGAAAATAATCGAGGTCACTGGTTTATAACTGTTCTTTCATCGTTTTTCGTCAGTTATGAAAAATAATATTATATGGATTAATTTCGAACATTTGACCTAGCAATGAGTAATGAAAATTAGTCTTTGTAAAATGATAGCATTGTTCAAATTCAAAATTGTTTTTTGGTTTTGTTTTTCAGATGGAATTGAACACACTGGTGAATTATTCAGAACACACTGGATGTATGTTGTTGAAATATTCGAAGGTAAAATACTGTATTGCTCTCACTGATAGATCTGATACCTTGGAAACCGAGTGTCCATTCGAATTTTTATGCGGTTTATGAGGTTATAAATGATCAAATCCTAGACCGAAGTTTGAGTAAATTACTGGAATAATTAAATGCGAACGAGATCGTTAACACTGAACCCAGAACTTGTTTCGCATCATACAGAATCAGTATATTGATGGTATACACGCTTCGAGCTCGATGACTGCATCTTTACCACGCGTTGAAATCACCCGAGCGACGATGATACTGTTACCACGCGTTGAAATTACCGAACGGCGTACGCATTCGCATTCTGTTGACAAATTTATTGTGCGAAAGCTGATTAAATTATCCTATTTAAATTCCTTGTTACATTACTTCCTATTACATCTTATACGTTATTCACATTACTTACGTTTGCAAATGTTTGTTGTAGAGTTTGTGAAAGTACTGTTGTCGTTTGAATTATGTTTCAAGTGTTCAATGCATTATTAATTCATACTGATGGATTGAACTTATATTATTATATTTCTTATTTTAAATACATTCAATTTACGAGTTTTCGCTGATAGGATAGAAAATCTCGTTTATATCGTTTCTACCGCTCGAAAGTATTTAGTACGGCCATCAATGAATTTGGTTGTTTAACATAGTTGAAGTTAATATGTGTAACATAAGATAAATGGTAAAAACACTCTTATATTTGGTTGTCTGAAAAATTTTTGCCATTTTGATGTGTAAAATTATAATGTACATTACAAGTTATATCTTATTTCACGAACAACTGCAGTCTTCGTTCATTTCGTTTCATTTTCAAACGGTTTCATTATTGATTTATTAATACTAAATTAATTTTATTTATTAAATTTACTAATAAATAATATTATTGTACGTAATTACACCAAATTCTTATCCTGTTATTTAATAAATATGTTAGCATATCCGTGCATGTCCTTTTTCCCCTCGAAGTTGCTCTCAGTATATGATTCTTTGAAGATTTTTCATTTTTTTATATATCGAATATACCGTGATAGTACACTTCCTCAAATTCCTTCATTTATACTTCTCATAAAAAAAACAGAACTTGTGATTACACTTCTACTTAGCCAAACAAGATTTCATTTTCTACGCACCAACGAAGACAAACGTCCTAAACAACTCAGTAATAGACTATAAAAGTAACAAAACATTCTCCTCAAACTGCAAACATAAATAATTAATAAACCGCCAATATCCATTTACAAAGGTCAACATAACTCCCAAAAGCCTGCTTTTAAATTCTTTTAATAAAACTCAAACGAAAAGCCTCACTAAAGATTCGCGACCCATTAATTCCTTACCTTATAATAACATGTCAGACTCGTGATGAAAATTTGAAATTGAATTCAACAAATCTAAATGTCATTTATTTAGTTTCAACGTAAATTAAATATTACTTGTCCGTTGTCAATCATTAATATTTATAGCAAATATACACACAGAATAATTATAAGATTCTCTTCTTTCTCTACTAAACTATTAACCAAAAAGTTGTTTTATAAAGTATAGTTGAGAAATAAATCACAGGGCAAGGGGTTAAACTCCGTTCATCTCGCGATATCACACGATCACGCATAAATCCACCGATTAAACGCTTTCGAGCGGCGGACGTAACAACGCGGGTCACGCGATCGTCGGTTTCGACATCCGTAATCTTGGACCGTTCTACCCATTGTTTATTCGAATTAACGTCTCGTGGACGTATCGTGTCTCGTCGGCTGGGCCGCGCCTGCTTGTGAAAACCGTCCCGCGTTGACCGCGTAATTTAAATCGTCGGTGGATCGAATCGATCGCCAGTACCGTGACGTCGAAATCCGTATGTCGGCGTAATGAAATTTACAGTTAAAGGGGGCGAGCAATTAAAGCGACGTTGTCGTTGGCCGGTTTAAAACGTGCCTTCTCGTCGGTCCAGGTAACGACGTCAGGTTACGCGGAGCCGACGGGATCGATTACCGGGCGCAATTCCCGGCGTGTAGAGGCTAACGGCGATTAGAAGCCGGCCGGCTCGTAATCTGATTTTAAATTGGTGAAAGCTGCGCCACCGGTGACTTTAAACGCCGCCCGTATCCCTTATAAGGCGGGCCTCATCATATTGGCCCAAAGAAGTGTATCGTTGTTCGTTCGACCGGCGAGCGTCTATCAGCGGCGCGGTCCCGGCTAACGCGATTTAGAAAAGACCTGGGTCCCGTG